TAAAGCAATCGATGTTATGTGTAAAAGGTTCACATCTTTTTTATTGGTCTCTGGGACAAAAAAAAATCTTTATTTTTCCAAATTTATAGTATTTGATTCAAGTGACTAAAAATACTACTACAAGAGAGGGACAAGCGACAAGCGACAAGAGAGGGACGTATCTCCGAACGTAATGTTTCAATACCGCTGGGGCCTCCGACTGACAGTGTAACAGTCTCTGACTGACAGTGTAACGGTCTCTGACTGACAGTCGTTCCCAGCGACCGGGTCTTTTGTTCAGCCGATAATGTAGGTGCGACCAGTGACTGGCCGGTGGCCGCTGCCCTCAGATCGTGCTCAGGTCAGCACTGACTGACCCCCGGCGACAGTTTTTACCCGGCCGCGTACACAAGATCACTTCATCATCCCGGCCGTAAAAACGCCCATCGGCGGCGTTTATTGGCGTTTTCCTGAAAACCGATACACGACAAAAACGGGCCTTTCTGACCTATATATAGCACAACCGATGGCAATGCGCACTATACAAATGCATAACTCATCCCGTGGCAGATTACGTAATGTTAGCGCATTGTTCTTACGTCTGTAGTTTTAGGGAAACGAACGGGTTCGAGTCGCTCCTGCGCTCAATATAAGAGACTCGTGTGAAGGGACTGGCCTGTGATTAAAAACTATACAGCCGTAACCAGCGCAGAGGGATGGACTGTATACCCGGACCAGGTGAGCGAGATTGACATTAACTCCGAAATTCTTTCAGTGGCGGCGGAAGGTATTCTAGGATAGGGGTGCAAACGATATTGAAGCGCCCCTTCCCGCTGGGCGCCCCTTACCATATACACGGTTGTAGTAACACAAACAGTGAAGAGACGTTTGACAATGTGTTGTACCTGTTAAAACGTTCAGAATTACAGTTTTTATGTAACGAGAAATAGTTGGTACATTCCATAGCGTAAATGTAACCTTCATAATGTTCGTTTAGAAACAACCTCATCACCATATCATAAGATTCTCCGAATAAGGCATATCGAAAAGAGTTCCACGGTTCAGTGAAATTAATGCCGCCCCAATCTCCGATAGGCGCCCCAGGTGATACATGTCGCCAATCAACACCAATGGGCGCCCCATTGAAATGAATACCGCCCTTCAACACTGGCAGACGCCCCAGTGGAATGAATGCCGCCCCACAATGCCGATGGCCGTCTCTGCACTGGAAAATCAGTTTCGCCCCTATACAGGCGCCCATAGAAGTTTGCAGAATGCTATTCCTGGTCATAATCATCTCCCCAGTAAAAAAAAAAAAAACGCAAAATACGCCCTAGCACTAGGGGTGTAACCGCCCATACGGACAGTGCAATTTTACAGGCCCCAATCTCGGACCTCCCTTAACATTCATATGTTGTAAACGGCAAACCGCCCCCGATAAATGTTACACAAACTAATTTCCTCTCGCATATCGGCCATCAGGCGCCCCTTTTTAATGTCGCATGGAGCCTGCAACGCTATAAGCCCTCATATGTTCGTGTTGGCATTCGGAGGCTATTGCCTTCAAAGACGTCTCCATACATGTTTCTTTTTCGTCCCACACACAGGCGCCCCTCTTTCGCATGCAGGCGCCCCTCTTCCGCATGGCGCGCTTCTCGAGTGGCTGCGCCCTCCTAGCCTTTATCGCCTGGCAAGATTATATTCGACAGGGTCGGCAGCATCTGCCTTTGTTTCAGATAAGGATGCCCTCCACTCTTCAGCATATCAAAAGATACTTTTCCCACGTCATTGCCACCCTCTTCGTGTCACAAGTGCCTTTATCAGTTGCGGTGTCGCACTGCTTAGCTTTATGGCCGCCGCACCTCTTAACTTCCTGCCTCCTCTACAGATTTTCGAGGCGCCCCTTTCCATAGCTTTAGGGTGCAGCTGCCCCCCTTGCCCCCCTGCTTCCGCCGCCACTGAATTCTTTCAGACTTTTTTCTTTCTTTTATATATTCGATCTAGATAAGTTGGGCCGGGACGTGTATAAGTGCGCAGCACGTTATGCTTGGCGAGGGCTCTGCCTTCGCTATTCCACTCATCCACAGTTTTTTTTTATTGCAGCACGGTCCATGAAATTCGAGGTCAAAGCGTTTTTGAATGTCACCTTACGTCTCGGCACACCATGGGCAATGGCCATCTTATCCGGACAAGATAGCAAAAAATGTTGTGCCTTAGCCGAGCATTACGCCCACCGGCTGACAGAATCAGTTACGCTAACTAGAGAAGGGTGAAATAAAGTGATCATTTGATGTTCAGCGGAGCATCAACCAAGACAAATGAGAACGCTATTTTGAAACTTGAATGAAGAACACCTGAGATGGAAGGTAAAGGCTTTAGCATGTCGGCCAAATCTGTCTTTGAGTGAAATAATCTTGTTAATGCAGCATTTTATACCAGCTGAGCAATCAGTCGTCTTTCTTTGAATATCACAAAGATGTAATTATATGGTAGGACAGATGATTAGGGAAAACAAAACACCGTGAATCACCTATGTTATATTGAACCTGAGCTCCAACGAACTGAAGTTGCGCCCTCCTTGCCATATTGCAATATTCACACTGTTTGCATTGGTTGTGATCGGTTGTCAAATGTCTTACCCATGCAATGTGCGTAGTTTACGCTGTGTAGTCAGCCACGTTTTTGCTTCATTTGTGCCACGTTATTACTGATCAATGCTGTTACAGCATGTCGCTACAGGTCTTTATCAAAAAACACTAAAGGTGCGCAGATGGCCCATATCGCACAAATGAAGTGCCAGCCTTACCTTGATAGTGTTAAAGGCATAGGTTTTCGCATTGACGTCACACCAAATGGGGATGACTTCATTCACGCCTAATAAGCGTGCTGGTTGCCCATTACGATCCAATAATTATCGATACGGCCGGCACAATTACGTGTGAGAGAGCTAAGTAATGCCTCCGACCGGTCCCACGCGCGTGGCGTAACGCACCCAGAGAGGCAAATACGGCGCAGAGAGCCAGCTCCCATTACTTGCGCTGAGGCAATCGAGGCAGAGCGGCTCGGACACGGCCCATCGCCAGCCAGTTACCTGGAAGAGTTTGGTTCGTTTTTGGCCTCGAAGACGAGTAATGATCACCTTTAAGAACGTTTATTATGATGTATCGATTGAGCCATCGGTGTGATGATGACCACCAATAGCATATCTCCGGTAACATTAGGTTTGATGACAGATTGTCATGCCTTTCAGAACCATATGCATGGTTGTGCAACTGGTGTCATGTCCTTTAGAGGCTGTCTAGCTCAACAAATCGAAGAGGTTAGGTCGGTCGAGGTCAAGACCATATACAAGGTCATACAAGATAAGAGCCAGATTCGCGCGCCCTATCTTTAGTCGTCTTTTGATCTTTTTACATAAAGGATTTATTTATTCGTATATTTGGCATTTCCTTGATAAAAGAAAACCACCGAGCAAAACCGGATGCTAAAGTTTAAATCGGTGCATCAATTATACATGTAGTAGGTAGGTGTAAAGGTCATTGTAGGTGGCGGAACGGAGAGCGCACCGGGGCACCGTGCAACCTTTGATTTTGGCATTTTAACATCAGCCCTATGGGCGTTGCATGGAAAGAATGAGACCAAAATTTGGTAGTGCCCTCCCCATAATTGACGGTGTTCCGCCGCTACTGGTAAAGATAGGTGTAAAGGTAGGTGTTAGGACTGCAGGTAAGTGTAAAGGTTGCGATAGGCGTAGTTTAGGCAAATATGCTGTCATCCGGACCTTCAAATTGCAATGCTATTAAATGAGCTGGTGGTTTTGTGCCTTTGTGATCCATGGCAAAGTCGATATTTCATATACCCGGGCACAGGGCGGGCACTGATGCATCCTGTCTCGATGGCAACAAGGCTGACTCAATAACATCCCGATTAGCGCCCAATTACCTACTTCCAAACAGCATTCCAAAGCAGGAGGATCATAGTGGTTTACCTGAGCTCAAATGTTTCCGGATGACTAGAGAGATTTGTATCGTATAACCTGTCGAAGACTGATCAATTACGGTCATTTGAGACGATCCAAAGCGGATTACTGTCGCGTTAATCTATGTGTGGACGTGTGGTGTATCTCTTGTTATTTCAAAATGTACCTAGATGCATAACCCCTCAGCTTAGTTGCAGCAGCGATTCACAGGCATTATTTTACATGTTATCATAAACAGCACTAATAAACTAATTTCAACATGCTTAGATATACAGCATATGCTCATAGTTTACTTTTACATTCTAATGTACGGCCCTCCAGCAAAAGAGTGGCTGGTTAGCCTATGTGCTTTTGGTGCAATAACTTTAAATGACAGAGACACTCCTGTAAAATGACTGAATAAAATAAGAAGAGGGTTCGTGCACACATTTCGGCAGTGGTTTTCAACAGCCATTAGACGTATTCATCAATGCAGATCGATTATTGTGATGTTGACAACCAACCACTTAATACCTGGTGGGCCGTACCTACTGAGCTCCGTCTGTTGAAAAATCATGATATGTCATCACCGAGCACCATTTTACAGGAGCAAAAGAAGATCGCAATTTAAATCACTTCAGCAGCATTACGTGTTTAACCAAACTCTGGTTAGCCCTAACTCGTGTACAATTGACCTTTCCGTGTGAGCGGTTTTACTGAGAATCCCGTTTAGCTAAGAGACACCGAACAAATACGACGGAGAGCAGGATCACGTCAATCTGTTCTCCAGAAAAGGGTCTAAATTTACTCGCAACGTCAGGGATGAACTTTTATTGACCGCTGCTTGAGCGGCTTAATCAGCCACTTGAGTTAAGGAGCATGGAACAATAGCAATGTGGTCAATAGTTTTGATGCGCAGCATATGCAATATGCATAGGTATAGAGGTAGTAAAACATACAAATAAATCATATGATCACATACCTACCTAAACATCACTTGATAGATATGAAGCAGCATTTGAAGGACCATAGGACTAATCGGTCTGAACAGTCATTAACCCACCTTTGTCGGTCAGCAGCGTCGCCAGCTAGGCGCGGTTGATGCCAGCCCCTGCCGTCCGGCTTCTGTCCAACTCTGCTATCCACCGCTGTTGCTGGTGCCTCTCCGTCCCTCTCGTGACGATGCCGTCGGTGCCTTCTCGACCCCTGCGCCTACTATGGCAGCCTCTCCGTTCCCCGTGCGGTTGCTGCCGCTGTCGCTCCGTCCCCTGTGCCGCTGACCCGCCGGTGGCCGCGCCAGAACTGAACGCGCGGCGCTCCGTGTGCGTCGGCCGCCCGCCCGTCACCCCCGCGTCGGTACCCGTCAGCCCCTCCATCGCTGCCGCCGGACGCGCGCGTCGACATCGCGAAACGGACCCACCAATCAGAGTGCTGAACATACGTGGCACGGCACGAGCGAAATGCTCGAGCGGTCAGTGATTGTCAGTGATTGAGTGCGGTCAGTGATTGCAGCGGATGTGGATTTGTTTCTGTATTACCACCGCTGAATTTTAAAATAACTACAAATGGAATGGCAGATGAGGGAAGACGAGGTATTTACTATTTTGAGCCCATTTTTTCTGGTGACCTGACCTGACCTTACCTGACATGGCTGGACTGGACTTAGCCTTTCTATTACTGACTTCAAAGGGATAAGAGAAATAAGGCAAACCAAGACATATTTTACCATCAAGAAAAAATAACTAGAAACAAAATACGTTCGATCGAATCTGTAAGGCTCACAACCCACAGCGTTACAATTTTAGTCCTAGTCACTTGGCACATGCGCCAATGTAATCACATAACACTTATCAGTGTATGAACAAATCATATAGAGTGTTCTGTGCACTTGCAGTCTGCACCTCCTAACACGTACAGTAGCGCCCTTCCATCCCACGTCACCGGAATCTGGCCTGACAGAACAAACCTAAACCCGTCTCACTTTGTGAGCAAAAATAAACTGCGAATGCGCAATGCGCTTGTAACCCGAAAATGTGCTGCAAGGCCGCAGGTGTTTATGATAGCTGCAGAGTGTGATGCACATTCCAGCTGTAAACTTTAACCCCTGGCTCCGCCCTCCCCCTTCTCACCCGCTTGGTGGCTTTGGCTTACGATGAATGGCAGAATTGATCGCGGAGAGCCGTAGTGTTGAAGCCCGCCCCCACCCTATATATCCACTGGAATAACAGGCTCTGATGTTATCTGCAGTTCGCAAAGATATTATTCTCGTTCAGTGTTTCGACACAAGTGACACATAAGTCAGTGCACATAAGTCAGGAGCAAAATATCCGGTGATGCGTTGGGGAATAACATGTGCAAAATTTGGTAAAATGTGCGTTTATTTGATTATCACAGTAGCACTTATGAGTGGGTAAGTAGGTATGCAATATTTGTAGGGACCTAAGTATACGGACAACTAACATTAAACGGAAGTGGAACCTAAGGCAGCGAGAAGCATGGGTACTTTCACTGCACTCCGGATCGCACTTGTAAATAAATGTGTTTAACGTAAATGTTACTTGTATTGAGCCAAAACCATTTTTTTTTTGCAAAATATCACAACACATTTGAATTTGATCAAGCTCTGCGGTCCAAATTTATCACCACAAAGCAAAACAAAAACTATGCAAAAACGAGATACCTATTGGTACAGATATCCTGTTTGAAACCAGCCATTCATCAAGTTATTAAAATAAAAAGATTAAATCATAAAAACATTACATATCTCGTGTCTAGATATGTACATAAATCACACACACGCTCATATGTGAATACAAAGTAAGGTCATTGACAACCATTGCCTATCCTAAGATAACTGGCCACTTCAGATGCACGAGCCAGTACGTCAACAGTCTCTAGGCCTTCATCAAAGTGGAATCTATACATCATATTCACTTGGACCAAATACCTATCTGATATTTCATCTTCCAACGTTTCTCACAGCCTCATATGCAGTAATATGCGTAACTTCAAGCCGTGTCTATGCATCTTATGCATTAAAACATGATATAACTATTTATGAGATAACTGTAATGTTTTTACAGTCTGTCTGTACTCAAGAACGTAAAAAACACGTACGGGCGCATTTCATGTTTCCAGGTTGCAGGTTACATGTTCCAGGTTACATGTTTCCACGTTCCAGCTGGTCACAGCGACAGCATCCGGACCACGTGCCCTCATATATCGGTGTGCGATAAACAGCTGCGTGAATGTGGATTCTAATAAAAAAGTTAAAAGACATCACAAAAGTCCGTTCATAGTAATTCCTTTAACATGCAATGCTCAAAGAAATGGCAACAAGTAAAATGTAAGCAACTCAAGTTAAGCTATCTTTAATTTTTCTTCCATTCTAGATATCCTTTATTATAAGAAAGATCATGAAAGGGATTATCATAGAAAGGGATCCACATAGTATATGAATGCTAAAATTATCCTAGTTTTCCGGTTGCTATGCTGATTCAACAGCACATGATTACTCAGATTGATTCGAGTGCCGAACATTTGGAATTGGATGGGATTTATCTCCTGATTATCTCATAAGTAGGTCATCCAGTTGATTTCACCACGAAATCTTGTCATCTAGGAATCAAGTAATGGAAGGCTATTTATAATCGGCTATTTATAGTCACCGTGATGGAAGGTTTACACGGGTTTACATAGAACGCAGGAACTATCGTCGAAGGAAGGCAACTGCTCTTCAATGCTGTATAATCTGACCCCGAATACGTCGATACTGGAAAGAACATGTTTCTGGCAATGGCAAACGACTGAAACATTTGTAGGATTTTGTACCACTATCAATCACTCGATTGCCTTCCTTTTTGCTCCGTTTCTATAAAATTGATTTAGAGCAGGTACAGCGATGTCTTGTTTGAGATCTGAGATGCATCCATTTATGTAGAGCAGGCGATTTCGGCACAGGAAATTCGGCATGTTTCGCCCTTGCCCTCGTTTCAGATCCACATTGAGGAATTCAACCATCTCTTTTGCTGATTTAATCATGCGTTAAATGCCTTCCAATCCTCATAGAGTAGAACAGTATGGGTCGAGGACTGAAAATCGCAATAACATGATGTAAGAGGAAACTGAAACATCTAGGTATCTGGCCTGCTTACGTTACCAGCAAGGTTGGGGCGATAAACGAGCGAGGGCAATATTGAGCGCTAGTGTGGCGTGAGTCTCTAGCCAACTTGTGCGGGAGCCGTTTACATAGAACCGATCCCTAGCGTTGTACTAGCTTTGAGCACAACTGGCCCAGACACTGTAAGATATACATAAAGGCGGTCTCTGTACGTGGGCACGTCACGTGCGGTAACAATCCGGCCGTAGCACCTGGAAATGCATCGCCCAATGAGAATGACCTCCCTTGATCAGCTTCATGGCCGGCTACGACCGACTTGATTTGAGGACACCGAGTTGATTTTTCCCAAATAAATAAGGATACTATTCAACGCGTCTTGACAAGGTGGACTGAAAGTCTTCATACCACCAACTGTCGTGAGGCCATGTCTTCGAACGTTAATCGCCTAAAACCAAAGCCCGATTTTGGGGTACCTACATGACATGAACTGTGATGTCAACAGTTGACCTGAGATCTTTAAATCGAGCACCATTGGCTTCCTTCCCTGGAGAGAAAGCCAGTGATGAATTGATGATCATCTTTCAGGATGCATCTGAATGCATATGCCAGATGATAGAGTAAGAAGGCTGACTGAAGCAGCTAACTTCATTGATTGGCATTAAATAAGCAGACCCTCACTACCTAACTATCCAGGAACAACGAAGGGATCATATTAGCGGGGTCACGGGTCATCATTACCATTAGCACATCAGAACAGAGCAGATGTCCTTTATGGCCGCATCAAAAGCCGATAATCCCTCTTCCATTTTGACATTTTGACTGTTTGATGAAATAAGGATACCCTCAGTAAGGGTCAAAACGTCCTGAGGCCTCTTGCACCAAAATACCTCGCTAGGTAGAATCGGCAAAATACCTACCTAGTAAAACTACCTACGGCGGTAACTTCTCTTGCACCATCCTACCTACCTACCTAGGTAAATTTGACAGCTTGCGTTTTTAGGATTTGTTTTGATTGGCTGTTTGGCGACGAATTATTTGTGGGCGCTGAACAAATAGTAACTAAAGAAAACAATTATATGGATATTGTTTTTGTTAATATACATTTTGGTATTATAAAATCATTTTCCATTTACGTAAATACGGATAGAAGTTATTTTGATATTAAATTACTTGAACAAATAAGCTTCGTTTCCATGGCAACGAGTGAGTCTTCAACCAGGCTGTTCTGCTACGGAGTTTTATCGCTTTGGTACGGAGAAGCACCTCTGTGAACCCATGGAGCATTTGGTCAATTATATTATTATTCACTCATAAAACATTGATTTATCATTGTCTAAACATTTTTGCTAGTTATTTTGGAAGCCCGAGTTTACCGTCAAACCGTCAAAAATTCCTCCGCGAGTACTTCCTTCCGGCTTTCGGTGCAAGAGGAAAACAGCCGGTCGGACTTTAACAATTGGTAAGTTCTTATGCCGCTCGGTAGAATTTCTAGGTAAATTTTCACGGTAGCGTTTTTTGGTAGGTAGTTTGGTGCAAGAGAATCTAGGTAAAATCTGAATTTACCTAGGTAGGTAGTTTGGTGCAAGAGGCCTCAGCACGTTTTATATTTCAAGTGCAGTGCTTTGCTATACCTACTACAGCATTTTAGGCGCAATTTCAAAAAGTCAAAGACCAAATTCAAAACGTTCACGTGCATTTTGAACGTAAACTTTTTGAATTTGGCCTTTACCTTTTTGAAATTGCGCCTAAAAAGGCACAATTTTACCGAAGAAAGGATGTTAAGGATCTTGATATTTCGACTACATCTATGTAGAGATCAGCTTGTGGGCTATTTGCGTTTTTACGTTTTTTTTGAAATATTGGCTGTGCATCGGTATTTAATGCATTACCTTCGACAATTTCGTCGTCCATTTATTGTAAAACGCTGTCAACTATGTGTCTGTGAACCGATGAGAACCCTAACCGCTTCCTATTTTTCTAGGCTTGTGTTAGCGCTTGACATGATGTTCTTTAATTTATCAGTAATAATATATGGTATTCAGTGTACGCAAAAAATTCAGTGTAGTAGATTATCAGCACCAGTAGGCTCGCGTAATATCACGTCCCAGACATATGAGAATGTTACGGAATGCATGTTTAA